ATCCATTTAATACATGTTTATTGGATCTAATGTTTTTTTAAAAATTATATGTTTGAAGCAAATACTTAAGATTGTTTCCCACCTCAAACAAATGTCTTAAATCTCAAGACACTATAGCATAGGGTAAAGCCGCCAAGACTGGAAAATCTAAAACAATATTTATACTATTTATTACCCACGGACTGCTGACATGGTATTGTAGATCTTTGAATTTCTGTTTTCCATTTGAATAATAGAAATCACAATTCCTGCCATACTAAATCACAAAGTGATTGTGAGAATTGAAAGAGATATTAGGTAGAATAGAACTTTGTAAAGCAAAAACAGCATAAAAGAAATTTGAAAGGAAAAACAGAATATGTATCTTTGCATTTATAAATGTGGAGTGTTGATTCTAAATTGTCTAGACTATTCACAAAAGTACCTACTCGATGTATTTATCAAAAAAGTGTCTTATAATTATTATAATAATTGCATAAAAATAAACACACATAGCACTTCAATAATTATAGGCCACATCCCATAGCTCAAGAAGCATTTTGTGGACCATATACAGCACAGATTGGCCAGATTGAAATATTTCAGTGGTTAAAGAAACAACAATAGCATGACTCAGACCTGAGGAGGCGTACATGATCAATGCCGTAGCACTTAAGTATGTTATGTCAAGGAAAAACTGGTCAAGGAGAAACTGCCTTTGAGCTTGAAGAAGACATCAGTTGTACACAAAAGCTTTCAGGGCTGCATTTTCTGAACAACAGAGAGACTTCAAGGGCCCTCAGTAAGATGAGTCATACACCACTAAAGCGGGACACATCAGCTGGCATTCAGAACTGGAACAAAGTATCTGAAAGTTTAAGCACTCTTCTTTATAGTGTTCCAGTAAGTTGCATTTTGCTTTTACCTGTATACAACCATGTGGCTTATTTTTAAAATCTATTGTTTTGTCCTCTCTAGATTCGGTATTCCATCCTGGATAACACTGAACGTTTTGTAATGGCATGATGTTTCAAAAGCAAATGCCAAATGTCATTTAAACCAGGTTCCCCTAGTGCCAAGGAAGACCACGACTTACCCATCTTGTGGAGCCTAACTTGTTTTCTTATGTAGAGAAAAGAAATCCTGCCAGCCTTTGTGATAATTTGGCTCAAGAACTGGAAAGGCTTTGTGAAGGTGAACCTAGATTCTGGATCTTTCCTTTCCTCTTGCTCCTTTTAATTTGCTAGGAGAAGGGCTACCCACAGGTATGGAAACTTCAACACTCTTGACTGACTCTACCCAGCCTCCTCTTCAGTAAGTACTCATATTTTGTAGGCAGTGCAAAAATACCAGACAGCCAGACACCGAAGATGCCAATGAAAGAATTACTTCCACAGAGGTCTAGTTTCCCAACTTTGTCATCAATATTTTGTTGTTCTCCTTGAATTATCTAAAGTCAATAACAATGATTTCTTCTTGAAAGCTACACAGAACAAGGATGAATACTAACACTGTGATCTTAGATAATATATCTAAACTCTGTGAGCCTTCGTTTCTTTGTCAAAACGGCTGTTCATATTACTTCTTCATTATTCAGAGATTTTGTTTTCAACAATAATACCTCCCCTGTCTACAGGACCACACTGACAACCTCACATATTGTGAGGTGAGCCTTAAAATAACCCCCTCAAGTTGACGGAGCGGTGATTTCAATCTCCAGTTTATAGGTGGGTATTTCCAATGCCCTCTTCTCTAAGTTCTTTTCCAATTCTGATCTACTGCAATGCTGTTCAACAGAAGAAAAACTAAAACTGGCGAGCTGGCATCGTATGAACTTCCAAAATTGTCTCCCAAGCTTAGGCATAATTCACTTGGCTTCCATTGTAAACAATGGGAATATTTTAAGAGTAAGGATCATGGTCCTATCTCTTTTTTAATTTGTAATGTTGAATTGGTACAGTTGCCATGAACACAAGCAAACAGGTAAGTCAAGTTAAAAATTTTAAAGCAAGAGAAAATGATGTATTTTTTAAAACTCAAAGTTCAAAAGCAATTTGAAATTTGCATGAAGCTTGTGCACCATAGCAATTTGTCATATACTTTCTCTTCAGCCAATTTACTACATTTACTCCCTAAAATAGTTGTCAAATACTTTTAACTATTAACTGTTTATTTTATACAAAACATATAATGTTTATGTGTATAATTTAACTATAAAATATCATACATTCCTATTAATTTTTGTATGTGTGCTATAGTCATACATATATATGCATGTAAACAAAGATGATCAGAATTATCCATTATATGGCATCTTTATGTGTGTGTATGTTATAAACACATACATATATCATTCTTGTTTTTCAAAGGTATTCTTATTTACTCATATTACCCAGAATTTAAGCCCAAAAAAAGCTCATGATGGCAAATATTGGAAATTCATTAATAAACATGAAAACTTATAACTTTATTCATAAATTATACCATTTAAGAGTGAATATCCTAAATTCTTAAAGAAGCACATGCCATATAACATCTCTTGCATATAATTACTTCCACTCTGATTTATTCCACTCTCAGCTAGTGTAAATACGGGGTTAATGTCATAAAATAGAAATCAAAGTGATTGAATTGAATAATTATACCAATTCAAGAGATGTTCATATGTTATGTGATATGCTTACTGATAATAATCCCTTCACAAACCTACCTACATCTCAAGAGCATTCTGAGATTAAAACTTAATTTAAAATTTGGTTAAGAAATGCCTTGAACTCCTTAGAGAAAAGGTCTAAAGTAAATGCAAAGAAATTATTATCAGAGTCAATCAAAGCAATGTTTTGTATTTTTCCCCCTAGAGAACACAAACATAAGACTGTTTTATTGGAGGGAAAAGATGTTTTTATTGCATTCACAATGAGATGTTTTTATTGCATCTAATTTTATAAAATAATTATATATAATTACCTTTTTGAAATAATTTATTTAAATATTAAGCCAAGAATGATATATATAGAATATCCAGACATATATATACAGTCAACCAACATCTAAAATCTGTATTCCGTATGCCATGTTGAGTGAAATTATATATGCGAATATTCAAGACATTCTTGATTTCCATACATTACTCTCAAGGAACAAATATATCATTATTATAAATATTAAAATAGTTGCAATACTTCCATATCTAAAGTGGGAAACTGTTCAACTTCATTGTGTTAGTGCAGTGCTTGTTTCTATGGCAATTCCTTCATCTTCACTGACTTAGTACCCACAAATTCACAGCCCTGAAGGGACTTGGAAATTACATAATAGAATGCTCTCATGGCTCAATTAAGAAACTGAAACCCAGACTCTCAGACTTTTGACTTACTCACCTACTATCAGCCCATTAGTTAATGTCAGAGCAGGAAGGATAGGGTGGGTCTTCTGACAATCATTTCAGCATTCTTTCAAGTATACTATACTGCTCCCCTGTATATGAAACCAGTTGACACTAAAACTGCACACGTACATACACAAACACACCAGTAGGTATAAACACCAGTATGTATAAACACCAAGTGGTTTGATTGAGTAAAGATATTTTTTAAAAATCAAGCTGTGCTTTTTATGATTTTTCAGTATAACAAATATATTGTTGTCTTTTTTGGTATGATAATGACAAGATGAACGGTTAGCTGTGAACACCAAAACAATTGCTTACAAAGGGAAAGAAATGAGTATTAAACAGTGACTTTATCTTCTTAATGTCTCAGAATGCTTTACTAGAAATTTCCATTAATTTTTTCTGAAGGTGTCTAATGTTCAGGTGTTTATAATCTTGGACAATAAACATTCAAAGATATAAAGAAAATCTCACCCGGTGATATCTAGGAAACCTATTTCATGGTTTTAATTTGCCAACCACTATAATACAAGGCATTATAAAAATAATTATACAAATTCATTAAATTTCATCTACAAATAACAGATTTTAGAGTCTGGAACTGTGCTGTCCAATGCCGTCACTAACTCCACTATGGAGTCTTTGTAACTAGTCTGAATTGAGATTTGCTGTAAGTGTAATATACAAAGTAAAGTGTTTACACAAAAAAAGAATGCAAAAAAAATCTCAATTTTATACTGATTATCAGTTGAAATAATATTTATCTAGCATTAAATAAAATATGTAATTAAAATTAACGCTATTTGTTTCATTTTATTCTTTTTACCATGGCTACTAGAACATTTAAAATGACATGTAGGGCTTGCATGTGTCATTCACATTATATTCCTATTGCTCAGACCATTCACATGCTAATTTTTCTATGTGAAATGTCTCCTGTCTCTTTTCCTCAAATCCAGAAACTACCCTACATTATTAATCATGACCTTCTCCTTGAACCCTTTTCAAAGGATCTTTCCCTCCACAAGTGAGTTTCCTTCTCTAAGTTCCAATAGCATCTTTCTTCTGACTTCACCAGTGTCTTCTAATGCAACTATTAGAATACTAGTAAGTTACTGGCAAGTAGGGTCTATGTATGGTTTTATGCACGTTTACCACCTGCAAAACAACCACCATAAAGTTTTAGTAAAATGTCAGTAAACTTTTATTAGACAAGTAAGTGAATACTTATATGTAGAAAATTTTTTTGCTTTTGCTTAGATAAAGCTGTCTTGAGAGATCAGAATTTGCAGAAGTAGGCCGGGCTTGGTGGCTCAACCTGTAATCCCAGCACTTTGGGAGGCTGAGGCAAGTGGATGGCCTGAGCCTGCGGGTTCAAGGAAACTTGGCGAAGCCTCGTCTCTACAATAAATCAAAAATTAACCGGGCGTGGTAGTGCACACTTGTAGTTCAGGCTACTTGGAAGGCTGAGGCGAAAATATCGCTGGAGTCCAGCAGGTCGAGGCGATGACCAGGAGCGTGCCACTGCACTCCAGTCTGGGCGACAGAGTGAGACTCCAACTCAAAAAAAAAAAAAAAAAAAAAAAGAATTTGCAGAAGCAGATCTGTGAGTTAGTAAGGAGATACATACCAGTTGACTTTCAGATACTGTAGGTGATGGTGAAGAGAGATTGGCCTGCAACATATAAACATGGTGGCTATTTAGTAAAATTCATAATTTAGAAAGTATATTTATGTCTTAAATATTTTGAAGTTCTTTTATTATAAAAGCAATATGTTTTATTACAGGTTGTTGAAAAGTATAGATTAAAAGGAAAAATAACATCACGCCACCATAAAAATTATTTTAAACATTTTTTGTATATTGCCTTATATTTTTCCTATGCATTCTATTCAGCTCACATAACTATGCATATGATGTTTTATAGTTGCTTTTTCTCTTATTTTCTTAACATAAGAATTATAACACAACATCAAAAATTCCTCAAAGTTACATCATATTTTATTCTTTGTATGTCCTACATTTTACTTAAACATATCAGCATTGTTGATATTTATATTTATTCACAGCACATTAAAACAAATAACAGATATTTTCTTGAAGTAATGATATAAAAAGAAAAGCATAGCAAAATTTTTGTGATTTGGAAGTAAAATGATTTGGTTTTTATAATTGTCTAAATTAAATAGTAGATTAATATTGTTTCTTCATCATTGTTTCCTGTATTTCATTTCTTTCATTAAGATTTTGTTTCTTTTCTTTTTTAAAATCTTATCTTATTGTGGTAAGTGCATCTAACATTAAGTTTATACTCAATACATTTTTAAGTTCACAACACAGCATTATTGCATATAAATACAATTTTGTACAGCAGACCTCTAAAATATATTCATCTTGTTTAATTGAAACTTTATGTTGATTAGTAACCTATTATTACCCACCCTCTCTCCCCTTAGTTTTCTTCTTCTCCTTCCTGAATCTGGATCTCACTCTGTGGCCCAGGCTGGAGTACAAGTGGCATGAACACCACGATCACAGCTCACAGAAGCCTTGACCTCCTTGGGCTTAGGTGAACCTACTCAGCATACTGAGTAGCTGGGACTATGGGGACACGCTACCATGCCCAACTATATTTTTCATTTTTCCTAGAGACGAGATTTCGCTATGTTGCCCAGGCTGGTTCCGTACTCCTGGATTTAAGCAATCCACCCGCCTTGGCCTCCCAAAGTGCAGGGACTTAGTTTTCTTCTTACCAAATGTTTTGTGAGTTTTTTCAGACCTTACTATCTTGTGCATGACTAAAAATGTTTCTGTTTTGCTCTCATTCTTGAAAGAGAGTTCAACTGGACATAGAATCCTAGGATGATATCATCTCTCTGCCTTTTGAAGAAGCTGTTCCAGTGACTCTGGCTTCTGTTACTGTCATTGGTCTAAATGTCATAACTTGGAGGATCATCTGTCTTCACATTTGGTTAGCACTTACTTTCCTCCATGACATTCTGCAATTTCACTGTGATGTCCCTTGGGAGTAGATCTCTTTTTTACTTATTTTTTGGGAGGACTTGGTATGTTCATTCATTATGAGTATACATATCTTTTAGAAAATCCTACATATCTATCTCTTCAAATATTGCCTTTCTCCCATTACATCAAATCTCTTCTTATGGCACTTCTATTACACATACAGTCATGCTCCATGCAAAGATGTTTCAGTCAATGATAGACTACATGTATGACAGTATAAATGAGGTCCCATAAGATCATAAAAGAGTAATCCCGCGCCTTGGGAGGCTGAGGTGAGTGAATTGCCTGAGCCGCGGGTTCGAGACCCACCTGGGTAGCGAGACCTCATCTCTACAATAAAAATCAAAAAATCAGTCAGGCTTGGTAGTGCATGCCTGTAATTCCGGCTACTCGGAAGGCTGAGGCGGAAGGATCGCCGGAGCCCAGCAGGTCGAGGCTGCGGTGGCCGGGAGCGGCCACTGCACTCCAATCTGGGCGACAGAGTGAAACTCCAACTCAAAAAAAAAAAAAAAGTCTCTATCATCTAGTAACAGCTTGATGATTCTCTCTGTAGGCCTCAGCTGACGTGTGTGTGTTTGCACCTTAGTTTTTAACAAAAAATATTTAAAAGGTTAAAAAAATTTTTAATAAAATAAAGCTTGCAGAATAAGGATATAAAGAAAATATATTTTTGTACAGCATTACAACGTGTTTTCAGCTGTTTCCATAGGAGTCAAAAGGTTTTAAAAATTAAAAGGATTATAAAGTAAAAAAGTTACAATAAACTAAGTTAATTTATGATTGAAGAAAGAAAATGTTTTTTATAAATTTGGTGTAGCCGCAGGTACATACAGTGTTTATAAAGTCTATAGCACTGTACAGTAAGGTCCTAAGACATCACATTCACTCATTCACTGACTCACCCAAAGCAACTTCTAGTCCTGAAAGCTCCATTCATGGTAAGTACCCTGTACAGTACTGCCATTTTTTATACTAGATTTTTATTCTACTTTTCTATGTTTAGATACACAAATACTGTGCATTATAATTACCTACCATATTCAGTACAGTAACATGCTGTACAGGTTTGTAGTCTAGGAGCAATAGGCTACATCTTATAGTCTCAGTGTGTAGTAATCTACATCATCTAGATTTCTATAAGTACATATTGATGTTTGCACAAAAATAACCTAACCACGTGTTTCTCAGAGTGTATCCTGTGGTTAAACACGCATGGCTGTATGTTGAACCTTCTCAAATTCACTTCCATTTATCTCAAACTCCTTTTTAAATAGTTTTGTCTCTTAATGCTGTTTTCTGGATGATTTTTACATATAAGTCTGACAGTTAACTAATTTTTCTTCAACGGCTTATTAGTATGTTTAATGTGGCGATTAAATTTTACATTTTAAAGACTTTATTTTGCACTTCTAGGAGTTCTACTTGGTTCTTTTTCAAATCTTGTCTTATAAGTCTATAATTTTTTATAACTATCATAACACTTTGCAAATTGTATACCTATTTTCCAGATATTTTTCAGTTGTTTGTATTTTCTGACACCCTCATGTCTTTCCCTCATGATGTTCTGTAATCATTTTGCATTTTTCTCAATTTTTCATTTTAAGTTTACATTCCATCAGAGTAATTTTAGTGAAGATTTATTTAGTTCTCCACGAAGCTCAGGTTGGGAAACCATCCCTCCAATACATTTGTCCTAGTAGGTGCCCTGGGACTCGCGCTGGCTCTGGACCAAGTAACCTTTTTATAGCCTCATCTTATTGTTCCTAAGCCTCAAGGGTGGCAGATTCCCACATCTTTGAGCTTCATGGGTTGAGGGTCCTATTTTCTCATGGGTCATTCTTTTTTTTTTTACCATGCAAACGTGTAGGGTATGGATGGTGAAAAGAATTTACCTTTTTTTTTTTATGCTTCATGATCCACATTGTTTTCTAGGTTCCAGATGAGCACAAAGAATTCCTTTATAGATCTGAAACTTGTTACACGGTGAACATTAAAACCTAAGCTCTTGGTTCCCGGCACTTAGGCTCTGATGTACCTATGTTCCACCAGGGTTTTCGGTTTGTCTTAGTATTAATATTTCCACTTGGAGCTCCCACTTCATTTATGGCATCCAGAGGTTTCTCTTTTTCTTTAGGTGTGTGTGTGTGTATGTGTGTGTGTGTGTGTGTGTGTGTGTGTGTGTGTGTAGAGAGAGAGAGAGAGACAGAGTCAGGGTCTGTCATTGATTGTGCTACTGTACAATCATGGCTCACTGCAGCCTCAGCTCCTGGGCTCAAGTGATCCTCCTGCCTCAGCCTCTCAAGGAGCTGGAATTACAGTCAAGTGCCACCAAACTTGGCTATTTTTTTTTTTTTAATGAGGTCTCTCTATATTGCCTCAGCTGGTCTCAGACCCCTGGTCTGAAACTTCTGGGCTCAAGCAATCCTCCTACCTCAATCTCCCAAAGTGCTGGGATTACAAGTGTGTCACTGCACCCAGCCTATATTTTTTAATCATTAAGTTTTATCAATCATTTCTGCATTTAAATAGAAAGCTAAATTTCCACATCTGCTCAGCCTTCAACTTTGACAGGAAATGGTCAACATACAGAGGCATCATTAGAAATATGCTTGGCTAAAATATTATAAAATTGCTTTCCAGAAATATTTCTATTCATTTTGAAGCCGCAGATATTTCAGAGCTTATTTAGAGGTATCATTATTGTTTTGACTCTGTGAGAGAGGAATAATAACGAAACACTGGAAACTCAGTGGTTCTTTGGTAATGCCAAGTACGTGGGTGCATGAATCACCAAACATAATGACGAGACACCTGAGATCCTTTGCACACTATGTCCAACAGTATTTGTCTTCTGCATTTTGAGTCATCCCCTTCTTTACAAGGACTGTCTGCTGGCTACCATCCCAGCTTGCTTTATGGCAGCAGGGTGACTTGGATAAGTGCCCCCATTCTAATTGCTGTGGGCCAGGTTAGTGTGCACTGAGGTTTATAAAAGTTCGCCTTCAGGACATCCATCATGGTGTTTTTCCCATTCACCCAGGGTTTCATTATTTACTTCATAATGGAATATGGGTAGCCATAATAATGATGTCTTCTAAAATCCTAGAGTTATTTTCCTTTAACAAATTTTTTCTCATTGAAATAATGAGAACATTCTTTGTGGATTCCCTAAGTTAAATGAATAGTTTTTGCGAAATATGCTGAACTTAATGCATCTTGACTGAAACGAAACTTGGTTAAAATTTTATCTCTTATTATAGAAAATGAGAGGTTACACGCTAACAAAGTATTTGCACAAATTAACTATAGTACTAATATTTTCTGGTATATTTTCCCAAGTAATTATCAAATTATATAGGAAAAAAGATAGAATGCTCTAAGAAATATACTAATTAAATTAGGGAAAACTCTAATTGTCTTTGCATTCGTTGTCCCTAAGTCCCTAAATTTTTTTCATTGTGAATCATGTCAAAAAAGTAAGATACATTAGACACCCCCAGAAATTTTTCTTCATTCAATATTACTCAAAAGAGCAAAATTAAATGCAAACCTAAGGGTGGAGTGCATATGTATAAAGTTAACACAGATCTCCTTCACCAAATGGAAAAAGTAAAGACTGACGTGCTATCATTAAAATAACCAGGTTCTTT